GGGGGGGGGGGAGGGGGTGAGATACATGAAAAGTAAAAGAGGAAGTGACATGTATCAAGCAATCACAGAGCTATTCACGCAATCAATCTTTCAACGGCCTTTTTCACAGAGCAAGGATTTCTGATTGAAGGAGGGAGAGAGAAGAAAGTAAACAAACACAGCTGTAGAGAGAGGTTCCTTTTGAGAAGGAGAAAGGAGAAAGAACGAAAGAGTATGCCAAGTTCCAGTAGGATTGAGGCAATCCTCCCGGAAAGTTTGAGCAATTGATGAGCAATTGATTTCGATTGACATCTCATTCTTTAATTAAGAAGGTTTCCCAGGAGGGACTTGGGGAGGGGAGGGAGTGAAAGGTAGGAGGGATGGTGTGAAGGCACGGGGTGTGGGTCCAGGTGAGTAATATTCTACTACATCAAGCTTGACCCGGCTTGTCAAAGGGACTCGCTGATTCCGCAGACGTCTCCATGATTCCATCCCGTCGATCACTAACCCCATGATCCATAATTTGAGAGACATTCAAGCTTTGAAGCGATAGCCTTAGCGATGGAGTAAAAAAGCCAGCTAGAACATTGGCAGCCTCATCGGAAGCTATGGGTGTGAAGCTCATGTTAACGCATTTACAGCCTATAAAACCACTGGATCCATAAAACGATTGCGTGGGCTTTCGCAGATGGTCCGCTCGATACATGCCACTTTTTAGTTCCTAGTCTTAGATACCTTGACGAATAATCTTGAAAATAACAGGGAAAATGGGAGAAAATATTCAGAAGAATGGGAGAATAAATGGAGAAAGGCTCGTCAGGGCATCTCAGAGATATGAATGCTCTTTCTAAAAGGACATTGCCAGAAAGATGAAGTGAGAAATGTGTCAGGCAACTATTAAATGAGCGCAGCGACTATTATAAGCAGCCCTGCTGCGCCCTTGAAGTGTTTAGACTGAGAAGCTTTTCCTTTCATTTGAACTTGATATTGAGTAATATCTATCCAAGCCCTGAAGCTGCCCTTGCACAAAGGAAAGTCGTACGAATGGTTCAAAACCTTAGGGATACAACTGTGATTGTTGCTCTTGCCCTGTAGTTTTTACTCCACCTTCTCGGCATAGTCCACGAGGTGTTCAAGTTACAAGCCAATGAAAGCGAATCCTATACTGACGAAAGAAAGAACAGGCGTACCAGCTGGAATAGAACTGAGCTGATCTCTGCCAGATTTCATAGTGGTCTGGATTTTTTTGTCTGTCCGCAATTAAGTGGTTATGATAACGGAACTGATATTGTATTACGACCGGAAACGAACTAGAAACATCGGTGTCCTCTATGGTAACATTCTGATATGGTTACTATTATAAAACTCAATGTGATTCCAATCGAGCGTTCTTCACTCAATTGCAGACATACCCATTGGAAAATGAAGGGAAACAGTGAAAAACAGAAGCGCACAATACGGGCATAGAGAACAAGTGTGCCAACAAAAAGGCGAGAAGAAATAAGCTAAGTTCTGAGGTTCCAGAAAAAAAAACCAGTTTCCCTATCAAAGTCCCTTCAGTGTTGTGCTGTCGCGTGCTGACGACAACGGTTGTGAATTCCGCAATGGGTTGTTGGCCTTCTTAACGGCATACCCCACCATCGTGGCGGTAGAACACCGCACACCGTTTTCTTGCTTGTCCTGAACTAAAATCCCCTTATGACACGAGTAGACCTGAGGCGATCTCTTGCACTTTTCCTTCAGAAATAAGACGATGATGGTACGGAACACCCCAGCCGGGCATGAAAAAAACTACAGAAAATGATAGGTCGTTTGTAGTCTTCTTTCCAGCATTTAAATCGCTCTAATCGGCCCTGTTCCCACTCTCCTTCGGAGCAAATTTTGCACCACAAGCACAGCTATACAATGATCTAGGTTTTAACTGATGTCATTGCTTACTGTAGGCACCCTACAGGAAAGCAGTCGTAAAATCGAATACCGACTTCGCTTCGAAAACTGCACAACTTTTGGAAGTTCTTAAGAAGTACTGGTGAGTTTGAGTACTGGTTATGTGTCTTCACCAAAATAAACCCAAATCACAGCAACGGAAATTAAATTGCTGCCATTTTCATGATTTCACTTATACCAGAGGCAGAAAACTGTGAAGAAAATCAGGCGAGAAACGAAGTGGCCATAAAATCTCAAGCAGGAACTTCTTTGAATCAAATAATGGCCTTCGGAAAGCAGACAGTGAGGCTATGAGGCAGCCCGTGCTATCGATCGCCTAGTCATCCTTTAGATGTTATGGGCGACGAGAGTGCAAGGAATGGTATGTGCGTGCTGATGATGCAACGAACATATGAAATCTTCGCCCTCCACGAAGGAATGTCGACAACATTTCCCAATATACTAATCTGAGCTGAACTGAAAGCCAGGGACTGTGAGAGAAGACAGTGAGTGCTGTTCAAATGCGCGATGGCAAAGATCCAACGAATGGTCGGAAAGTCAGTAACGGACAATATCCCTGCTCTGATAAGTGAACTGGCGCGGTTTCAAGAGGTTAAGGATATTAGAAATCGGTCTCATTATCAGTTCCTGAAAGAACCTGCGATCCTAGAAAGTGATCAGTGATCAGAGGACACATATAAAAAACCGTAATTTTTGGAAAAAGATGATAAAGTCAGTTCTTGGCGAAAGTGGGTCGATGGAAAAATCATTATTCTGGATTGCAGAAATTGGTGCATTGACAATTACAGAATTGCCAGCCGGTCAGCTGAAAAGTATGCACGAAATCAATAGCTTTGCAAACCACTGAAATGAACTATGTTCCGCAAAGCTTTTCCTGCGCCAAATGGCCGAAAGAGCAATAAGCAAGGGCTGTGCAACGTCATGCAAACACTTCTAGGCGACGTGTCGCTATGCAATTTGTAGGGAATGAATGGATATAACCTGTCCAGTGATTCGAAAAACACTAATGGAAAGCCGTCAAGCTGAAGAGTCCTATTATACGGAACATGAAGAAAAGGAGCAATAGGAATACGACGATGGTTTTTCACGATCTTCGTACCTCCCTGTTCACAGATTGCGCTAGCTCTTTGATTCCAACACTTCTGTCTTTTGGAAACAACCTGGGAAAGATAAGTGAATAGGCATTATTATTTGTTGGAGGCTTGTTCATATTAATTTGTACTTTTGCTTATTTCTCATTGATATGGTAATGGGATGTGTTCGTTAAAAAGCTTGTATTTCCACACTTTGCTGCTTGCTCACGAAGATTAGCAAAAAGTTCTGAAGAAAAATAGTCGGAGAGAGGAATGAATATGAAACGCATTCTATACATTACCTACCCCCTCCTAGAAAACCACACGTTTTTCACAGTGAATGCTACCTATGCAATGATGAAGACGGCCGAAAGAGGAACATTAGTGAACTTACAATATTTCTGTGTGTGTTGCTGTGAGGTGACAGGATTTAGAAAAATCATNAATGTTGAGCTTCAAGACTATCATCGACTAGCAGTGGGCACGTTCATAGTACCTGAATTCTGCTCCAAATTGGGCGGTAGATCACAAATATACGCGATAGAACGCCCATCTAGGCACAAAAATGCACTACGTGTTGTTAGAGCGCCGACGTCGTTGATCAATACCTCGCAGATGACCTTTTCGCCGGCACAAACAAAGCGAATGAGTGAAAGTAACGATTTTGTTCAAAAAATTTGATTGGCAGGTTTTGCAGTCAACTTTATTTTCTACTCCATATTTTGAATTATTGCGTGTCTTGTCTCTCGCGTGAGAGTGCTATTTTATTCACGACGTCTTGGCTTCGTTCCTATTGCCGCACCAGCCGCGAATTTTCTTTGCTTAAACTGCCTATGTCCGTTCTTCATTTCAGTGCTAAATGTGGTTTCTTTCAACCTTTCATTCGTCAAATATTCCCGACTTGTTCATTCTTGTTCTGAAGTTGTTGAGGAGATATCCCCCGTGAAACAAAATTCAATTTCAATTTATGGCTGGAGTCTACTCTTCTACTCTGTATTCTGGTTCGCATTTGTATGATTAATGCCTCTTTTCTAGAACTGTCCTGGTTCGATTCATTGGTTCTTTCTTGATTTTTCANNNTTCCTAATTTAATTCTTCGTCGTTCGTTCGTGTTATCGCGTTTTTTGTGTGTTCTCTAATAAATCTAACCTCAACTGTTGTTAGTGTTTACCAAGCACGTTGGGAGGGGGACCGCGTAATCCTCACATCATAACGAATAAAATAATAACCTACTGATGACAAATAATAATAACCTACCGATGACCTTTAAGGGAAATTGGTAACAGCCGTTTGGTAAATTTATTGAAGATTCCGATGAATAGAAATGGAAACCGTTCTCAGGTGTCTGTGTTGAAGGAATGGACGTGTCGCTTGAGCCAATCGAAAGAGTTCAGCCAATCAAGGCCCGTAGAATTGGCAAGATACCACGCGCAAAATCTATTGATGGAGAACATTCGCAATGATCTTGAACAAAACTGCACTTTTTCATGCTTCGCTTTGATTGAAGGAGGGGTTAAGGCTAGATCTCAAAGTCTCGACTGTGGACCTTCGTCTTGCGCCTCTCAACTATTGACTAGAATGAAGGCGGCCGATACAATACTTGCTCGTATGGTGAATGTGTCTTATCGCTTTCCTCTCTGTCACCCCACTTTCTGCTTAACTTGCTCCGGCAGTTTTCATGTTCAATCGGTCCAACTACAGAAGCTCCAACTACGGCGAGTGGCCGTCCCGGCATATTTCTATCTCTGAGTTCCTCTCCCCATTTAGCAAATTTTGCGGCACCTTAAATGTTAAGTGCAAGCTTGAACAGACTGGATGGATGTAGTTTTGATGAAAACGAATCTCACTAACACCTGCACGATCTCCTTACATAGCGATTTCACCCTCGGCTTTTCCGAAACGTCTCTGAAACGCGATCCGATTACGCCAAACATTCAACAACCTTCGAATTCTTCTGAACCGTTGAATCGTCTAAAACCTCCAATTCGGAGTGACCAGTATGAGAGGTACCGAGAGAGCAGGAGCGGAAATTAATCAACAGCTGTAATGAAACCACACAGAAGTTGAGCTGTACCAGGATTGATTGCGAGTACAGGGATTAAAGCTACTGGATTTGACAGATAGGTTGCTTTTTCTGGAAAGTTTGCTGTCTAATGAGTGTTTCAGATTAATTCATTTAATTATTGTAACCGAATACTTCGATACGGAGTTCAAANNATGCTTCCGCTTATCGTTTTCCTTCACACAACATTGACTTTTGTTGCTATTTTCTACGGCACGCTTCATCGAATCCGTCATTACAACGTGCCATCGATTCTTGCTCTTCGCTTCTCTACTTCTGAAGTAATTGGCGCCGCACTCGATCATGTAGATCATTGTCACGCCCATCGACCGGCGATGTGTCAGACGTGTGTCGAGGCGATACACATTTTGCTGTTCGCACCGGGACCCACACATTCAGCATAGATTTGGCTGATCGACAAGTGGTGAGCGGTTGTTTGCTCTTATTCTGTTATTCTTTTTGCAGTTACGAACTTTGCTCTGGTTTTCTACTTTACGAACATCGATAGAGATGAGTTATTTTTGCTATTATCCGTGTTTTTGTTAACGATGTATTTTTGCCAGTGATTTCGGATGTATTAAGTGAATAATTTTCAGGACATTCTTGCCTACTGTAGACAGCTGTACGCCATGGTACACACTGTGTAGCTTGTTCAAACACCCTTCTATGGCATTACATGTTCTTTTTCTCGTCCTCCGTTTTTGACGACGCCTTTTATCTCTTCAGAAATACCTGCTCTCCTGCTTTCTTCGCCTCCATCGCATTATTGTCACATTCTCTTTTCGTCATTATTTAGATAACCTTGAATTATCGCGAGCTGAGCCTTTGAAAACTTAACTTCCCCACCGAAGTTCGCTATTTTTTCCATGTTTATTCGTAGTCGAGAAAGAACCATTTGGTATAGCATACGCTGTGGAATTTTTCACTTCCATCAACTTTAGAACGTCAGAAAGAAACCAGTAATGCTTCGCTGATCATCTCGCCGGTCTCATTCTAACCTTCTTAAAAAGTTCTCAATGTTCCCTTCACGTTGCTTTCAATTCTTCCACGAAACCTTCTACGTGAGAAGTTCCTCTATGTGAATTGTGTTCTTCATCCCTCGTAATGGTGCCTATCCTTGCTCACAAGAAAGCTCTTACCTTTTAATGATGAGGTCGCTTTCCTTTTCTACCTATTTTATCGAGCACGGTAAACGGGCAGTAGGAATGGTTCTGTGTAATCGATCCGCCGCACGCGGTTGTCGGGGACCATTTGCCTCGTTATTACAGTTCTAGTGTTCTTCATACAGCTCAATCGCTATGCGATTATTACTTTTGGCATGATTCTACTGTTAGTTCTATTGTTCCCGTATTTCTAACTTGCTGCTGCAATCTGATACATTCCTTCGCGTGTGGCATCCCTCTCGCCTTGACTTTCGTTCCTACTGCACCGGACCCAACAAGCGCGACCACGACTTATCTGAACCTGTGTCATGACTACACTGCGTACATTAGAAAATTTATAAACTGAAAACGTTCTGGAAATTTTTGACAATCTTTATCAGCTGTTATAATTTTCTACACTCTGTTATCTGTGATTCACTCGTGCTCTATATCACATACTGAAGTAACAATACGGGTGCCATACGGAAGGAAAAGGTGGTCTAGGGTCTATAATCAGACATCATCAGTTGTTATTAGCCCTTGAGTAAACGACCATGAGTAAACAATCCGGTTGGTGTCCAGCTAATGAACTCATATCTTATTCAAATACGTATATCAATAGATTTAGTTACACACTTGATAGGTGGAGTGGAGTACGCTTCTGTTGTTCTGGGTGAATAGTAGGCATACCGCGTGAAGCCGAGCGAATCCGATATGGCTCAACATCATCAGAAAAGATACGACTTCATTAATCCATCCGATGCTAATCATCCAGATATGTAGCTGGTGTATATTCACTTCTTGCATCGGAAAACCGATCCAAGTTCCCCTCAATGCTTAGGTAGAGATATGTATATGGAATCTGGAGTAAGAGTAGGGTACACAGAGAAGTAAGATGAGGGAGACACACCGCGTTTACCACTTCCTTATTTCGAGAAGATCCATTTGGAACATTGGAACTTGTTTTCTTGAAGTCTTTAAAGGTAGTGAAACTTCCTTATTGAATATGCCGCGCTACCAGCTTCTTAGAATGACTAAAACTCATTGGCCACATACGGTCGGTGTTGCAATGCTGTATTTATGACGAGTTTGTTTTGTTTTTAAACTAAGCAGGATGTAATAACTTTGTTTATTCATTAGTTGACCGTGATTTTAATGAATCGTTTTATCGTAATCTTGTGTTGTCGACTCGGGAAGTGCTCTTAAGAGACGACATATATCCTTGATATCCTCCTGCACTTGAGTTCTGATATAAACCTGGAAAAAAGAGTTGAAAGAACCAAAATAATAATAATATCTTTTTCAATAGAATGTATTTAGGATGTAAAAAAATTACTCCCAGAAACGTGTAGAAATCCATATTTATCGCGTTTATGTCATGAAGAGAAAAACTGACCTCTGTTTCAAACATAAAATCGAAGATAACATCCGTAGCAGAGGTGTCTAATTCAATAGCACGAGTCAATCTGGGGGATAGACGGAAGAACGGTATCTTCAGTGAATGAGCCCACTCACGAGTTTGTCCAACAGTCACCTCGTGAGATGAAGTGCACTGAAAAATGAGTGCTACATGTCTACCCTGAAGATAATGCTGCTTCATGAAATCAAGGTTATCCATTCTTGGTCTATTTACTAGTTGTTTATCACCATCAGAGTTTCTCTCTCATTTATAAAGCAGAATCTTGGTGTATCGGTTTGTCGGTTTGGGTGTTTGTCGGTATGTCGGTATGTCCGTCCGCAAAAGTTTATGATTNNNGCTCAGAGTCCCTACTTAAAAGTTCACTGGTTAAAGTCCGACGGTCTATATTTTTGCATTTATCCTCTCATCAGCTTTGAAGTAAATACGCGCTTGGACCCTGCACACAGAGGGAAGGATTCCTACCGGTTCTCATGACCAAGTTGTTGGCTTCGCTATCAGCCTAAACGCTTTGATAAGAGCAGCAAAGTTTTGATTTTTGTCATTTGTAAAGTGACCTGGTATAGGAAGAGAGTGNGACCTAATTGGTTTTCTAAAAATCATGCCACAAGCTGCTAGTTTGGATGCTTCTACTATTCACGTCTCTTGCATATCTTGGCCAATACTCTGATGGATTGTTCGTTCCTACTTCTTGCAAGGAAACGGCTTAGCTTCCTCACAACCGAGCCGTCATCACTAGATTCGTCTGTCAGAATCTCATGATGTAGCACGTTTCAATTCAACAATTTTCCTTGTAGAAGTGCATTTCAGCCCCGTGGAGGTGTCTGGGTTTTTATGCGAAATATTGCTTAAGATTTTGTTTTCGGGAAGTATCCTGCCTTCAGGTGCTCAGAGTCCCTACTTAAAAGTTCACTGGTTAAAGTCCGACGGTCCAGGTTTGTGCATTTACACTCTCATCAGTTTTTGAAGCAAATACGCGTTTCGACCCTGCACACAGAGGACAGGATCCATACTGGTTCCCATGAACAAGCTGAATTCGCTATCAGCCTACACGCTTTGAAAAGAGCAGCAAAGTTTTGATTGTTGTCATTTGTAAAGTGACCTGGTATAGGAAGAGAGTGAAGAGATTTTTGCTTCTTCCGAACAGATTTACAAAATCCTTTCCGATTGCAAACGGACTGCTGAAATGTTAGAAATTTTGAGGAGATTCAAAACAGCTCTATACTTCTGTGAATTCCACTTCTA